ACTCTGCTTAACACATATTTCATGAAATCTTACCAGCTACATTTGTCAGAATGATTATATATATATATATATAATAATAATAACTCTGCAAATGTAACTGGTAAGATTTCATGATATATGTGTTAAGACGTATATACACATTTGTGTACATCAATCAACAAACTGTATCGTCGATATATGCGTGTATTTTGTTGCACATTTGTATCACCCCATCGGGAGTACATCCTATCAATACCTGCCTTAACCTGAAATGAGCATCACAAATCTACAATAAAATACCCATACTCTGATTGTGCATCTCTACATGCAGGCTAATACTATGATCCACGCTATTCCACTATCTACCAGCTCTGCAAAACCACACTCAGGAAAGGGCAGAAAATCCTCAACAACGATGGTAGAGCGCTCGTGTCTCGGCGTCTCTTTGGTGTGTGTTCGCTCCGTCGCCGGTTACTGTACATGCTTCGATGGGCTCTTCTCTCGGATGATGTAACGAACAATGGGGAGGTTGCACCTATTGCTCCAGATTCTGTACCGAAGTGTTCTGATTGCGCCATGAATAGCGCGAGTGACGTACCCGATAGTTGGAATTCTGAGAATGTTAGTCCGTCTCAGCACCAGCACAATAGCACCAACTTTCGCGTATCGAGTGTGTTTGGGTGTGCGCAAGACGAGGCACTCGTGGCCCAATCAAAACAGCCTATTTTATCGGACGGCGGCCATAGTCAGGAGAAGGCCCGCAGTGACTATGTGGAGTTGAGTCCGAAGGATGTGGTGGTCTGCCTTCTAACCATGTACGTTGTACATGAGGAGCATGCACGGTTCGAGGGCAATTTGTCCGTGTCCGCTGAGGAGACTAGCGAGTGGATTGAATATGCCAAGCGTCACCTGGACTGCAAAGGTGCAGCCGTGTTCTCTTGTGTATGGGTTTGTGTGTGCAAACTAGGCTACTTCCACACTGCAACATTGGCTCAGGTGATAGTACCCATGTCGCTACCCGTGCACACGTCCTTCGTGCTATGCGGATTACTTGCCCGAGTATAACTGCCTCAGTTTGATACCTATGTTGATTTAGAATAGGTCAATACGCATACATAATCGTTGTGCTGTATCTTTAATACTTGCTCTTGAAACATACACACACAGAGCCAGAACAGCTTATTGCTCGTCTACAGAGGGCCGAGCCTTCTCGCATAAACTGGCCTCCATCGGACACCACTGCTTATACCGCTGTGTATTATTCGCTTCCTGATTGGCTGGTAAGTCAAATAGTTGACACCAAAGGCACGGCGTCGACCAATGAAATCGCCGCTGCGATGAATCGACCGGGTGGTATCAAGTTACGGTGTAATACGTAAGTGATTTCGTCTCCTCGATACAACTTATAGATGTGTAGTATACATGATGATTGATTCTTCGTAGAATTCATTGAACATGTTTACAGGGTAGATCTTGCAAATATTATTGTTTACAATACTCAGATTTAGATATAAGCACTTATGCATTCGTATACATTAACCGTACAGAATATATCAAAATGCCAGTACATGTTTGTGTTATTGTACTTCTATCATAGTTGTCCAACGAAAATCCTCAAATATTCATTTACTGCGCACCGATACGCAATAGACAATAAGTTCACGCCAACGTTGCTCGTGTAATGATGGAGAGTTTGATATTGGAGTGACAATACAGTATACGAATCACATAACTCGATCACCTGTTTTTAATAACACGCATCATTGAGAGTGTGTTAACTATACGTTCATCTAGAAATTAGTCACCAGTTGCAGATACGAATCGGAGTGTGGACTCTTCATCCCATTGAAGTACGACAAGTCAGCAGATCCTGAAGCCGAAATCTCGATTGCCCATACTCCTTGCACTGATCACAGGTACATGAATGATATCCCCAAGCTCATGGACGATCTCCAAGCCGAAGAAGGTATCGTAACCAGCCCTACCCGGTACACCGCGTGTGGGTTGAAGGTGGATTCGCCGGCCAAACCGCAAATAGTCGGCACGGAAATCTTTAAGAGGGGTGTGTACGAGGTACAGGACGAGGGGTCGCAACTCATCGGCTTGGCAACGGTATGCGGTCGTCTCAGGAGCTGTGTGTATAATAATGTGGCGAAAGCGAACTCGTGTATAACAACGGGGTTCTCTTACATGGCAACGGAGTTTACTCTCGGCAGAGAGGTTTGCTGGAATTGCGTTGGGGTTGTTTTGACTGTATACTTATAGGGTCGTACTATTCCAGCAAGGGCCATATTCCAGTGTGAAGTAAACTTATCCGTCATTGGTCCACATACCAGGCTGTGCTTTAACCTTACATAACGACCGTGTATATATATCATTGGGTGTGAATTAACCGCACACTCACCATTCCATGGTAACCCAGGGGGTGGAGCGTGGCATGAGCGTGGTGGACCTTTGCTGTGGGCGTGGTGGGAAAGCACTGCACCTGGCCGATCTTCTCAGTCGCTGTAGAAGGCCTGGCGTGCGACAGCCCTTTAGATCCGTAAACCGCGGCAGGAAGAGAGTGTACTCTGGAGACTCGGATATACCTACAGGCACAAGCGCAAGAGAGGTAGACTCCGGTGGATGTAGTTTCATTGAAAGAATGGTTGTTGACACAAATGTCCACACACGCACAACGGATGACGATGTAGATAGCATTGTAGCCGAAATCAGCGTTGGTGCATGCAACACACGAACGTTGTGTAGTCTGGCTTTATGCGATACTCTGAAAACAGGCGAGGTAAGAAGACAGTACAATGTGTCTGGGTGGATGGTTCCGTATACGGCAATCGCGTATCGTGTGTGTGAATTGATCTGGCAATCGTTCGGTCAGTTTTTGTGTTAGACCATTTACGGTAATTGTACGCCAGAAATATGGATTAGGCACTCGCCCACTGCTGCTGTGAGACTGCCCAGAGAAACTATGTGTTAATATATGGAGGGCCACAGTGCCAATCCCAGCGAACGGTGTATTTGTCTAACCGCTATTTATTTTTGGCTGGAGTTGTACATACATAGGCTTCAAAACAGCACAAGCTAATTTAGACTTGCACCTATCGTGACCTGTCAGACCCACAGCGCGGCTCCCTCAACAGAAACCGACCAATCCGAGGCATTGAGTGTGCCAGGGCTGCTGGTGTGTCACGACATCGACGATACGACACTCAGCGTAGCCCGACGGCGACTAACAAGTCGTCCTGGGGCTGTGGACCCAATGGTTGGCTGTGGGTTTGTCTGCTCACGCGCTGCTAGGCAAATAGTGGGCGGCCGAGGGGGTGACACGGCAAGGGGCAGAGGTGGGGTTGGTATGGATGGTGTGAGTGAGGCACATGGACGGAGGGACGCAGATGTCACAGCACCTACTACACACCTCGGGTTAGAAACCGGTGCGAATGCAAGCACAGCGCTACATGTAGACCCACGGCTGGCGAGAGGGGTGAGTACACAGACCGAAGGCCAGGTGTTGGTGGCTGATACTACGGTCAGTGTAGCCGAGGCCGCAGACGCTTATGTTGACATCCCGGCTATTCGAGCGAACTTAATGGACAATTATACAGGAATACAGGACACGCATTCCCCGTCGCCGTATGCAGACGTGGTGCTGGTAGATGCTCCGTGTTCATCTCTCGGGACACTCCGCAGAGGACCAAATGTGCGGTGGGAAATGAGCCAGGATTCGCTGGCACTATACCCACCACTGCAACGACGGCTGCTGGCGTATGGGGCAACGCTGGTGAAGGTTGGTGGCGTTCTGGTATGTGTTTATTTATTCTCTTGACTGTACATTAGCATGCATATATATATATATATATATATATA